CCAATTATGTTTATGAATATGCTATGTAAGATTTATCATGCAAACACAATTATGGTCATAATCTATGTTCTCTAGCACAGCAAAGTTAATTACTTTAATTATTAACTAAGATTTTGGTCGATCCTAGCTCTAGCAATTCAATGTTCACTAAATTACTAGGTTATCAAGTTCATGCAGTTAATGGTCACTAAGCTACACATAACATGAATTTAAGCAACTAAAGCAACAACTTAAGCATGCTAGGTAACAATAAATAAAACACAAGCAATTCACCAACTAAATAAATCCATATAAAATTATGCTATTCACAAGTTTGAAGCTTCATCTAGCTAGCTAAGAGTAGCTAGATTCAGCTGCTCATAGTAGCAACTAACACATGAACACAACTTAAATAAGAAAACATGTTCATAAGTATTAATCAAGTAAACAAATTATGAACTTTTACTCTTTTGGTGTTGAAAACCCTTTTCCAGGACCTTGCTTCTGCTGTAAATCGCCTCCTGGACCTCTTCCTTCTGCCAAAAGTCTCCCAAATCGCAATGGGCAAAGGTATTTATAAAATCTTCCAATTTCCCGTTCACGTCGTGAGAATTTAAGTCTCACGTTTGAAAATAATGTTTTTTTTTGTTTTGAAAATAATGTTTTTTTTTTGAAATACCAACTATTTTTTTCAATGTATGAATATACTTGCTTCTATCACGAGTAACTAGATTATAACCCGCGTTAAACGCGGGGAACGTATTAAAGAAATATAAAAACATTTATATATATTGCATAATAATTATAAAAGAAAGTTTATGACTATTGTCATTATTGAAATGTGAAGAAGAACACTGAAATCGATAAATATCTATAAACGTTGCAAGACCTCTTTGTAGACAACGTTTTTTGTTTTATTAGTTGAACGACCTTCCTCGTCACATATGAGTACCTTCAAACTTTTTTATTTGTTACACGAGAAACAGCTACATATAACGGACCATGGGTGAAGACAGGTCTACGCAAGTATAATCCAACATTTGATAATTACTGTCATTGACTTTTGCTAATGGTCATAGCGAAACAAACTACTATTGGGAATTGCCTATGTTGAAAACGGAATGAAATATTTTTATCGGATATGGTCAACTTCATGCGATGTATATAAGTAGTCTTGTTGAAAAATCTTATTGTGGACCAGTTTTTTTCTACAAAACTCCAAATGTGAAGTCTCAATCTTGATGTAGATATCTACTACAAACTCTTGTAGTAATCTTCCTCCCAACAAAATTATATTATAATTTGACCGGATTTGAAACTTATAGCAATAGTACTCCCGCATACTTACAATATTCCGCCCTCCTTTTGTATTAGAGTCCACACAATGTTGATGTCGTGAACAAAAAAAATAATTAATGATTTGTAAAAACATGTAATCTTTGTTAATTAAACTAAAATTTAAAAATTTATGATATGTGTACCTTCTAAATCATCCTGGATGTCTTCGTCGTCGTTAATAATATTATTGATGGGAAATCCATGTCTTGGGATATTAGAATGCCATCCAGACTCACCATTAGGAAAAAATAAAGGATAACACAGTGGATCATAACATCCCCAGTAAGATTTGAATTGTTCGTGGTTTTTCGGATCTACCATACACGATAATACTTCGTTTATATGCGGCTATGTTTTCGTTACCTTCAATCCAAATACCAGCGACCTGGAATTTTTATTATGGAAACGATATGATTATATATGGTGTGTAATATATACAGTTGTATGTCATACATGATATATTTTTTTTTATAATTAGTAGATAATAATTATTATGGTACCTCGGATGTGGTCGGTCTGTTGTATACCCTTTGGTCAAGTTCTACTGATGCATTCAAAGTGACTCTGTAATTGTCAAGCGGCCCTAGATCGGCAAGTCTTCGAAATATTTGCACGTATGGGTTTGTGGCAAGAACACAGATCAACTTTTGAGCATTTTGTTTATCAATATTCTTCCATTTGAGTCTATGTGACATCTCATAATCAGCATCGTGATAGCTTATTTTATTTCCTTATTTTTATTAGTTTATTTTAGATTTTTAGATCTTTTTATCATTATTGCATTGCATTGTATTTTATTTATTTTTCTTTAGTATGGATCGTACCGGGTGCTTTTTATGTTGCATGAGGAATTTTGCAGGGTTTTGGAGCTTATCGCGATTGTGGATTAGAGTGAAGACGGACTTGTGGGCTCTCGAGGCGCTATTGGGCTTGGCGGATCCACCAAAGGAGATTTGGGCTTAAAAAGATAAAGGCTTGGATGAAGTGGGCTTGTGAAGATGGATCATGGATAATTAATTTTGGGTTTGGAGCATCCACATTTGAAGCTAAAAGATGATTGGTTTGTTTGAATCACATGGATATGGAGGGGACCAAAGGAATCTTTGGTAGTGGAAGGGTGGAGTGGTGGAATAAAGGACCAATAGCATTACTGCAAATTTGCGCGGGTAGAATTTTCGTGGCGCGGGTACCCGCGCAACTGCCCAGTTTTGGCATTTTGGTCATTTGGCTTGCCATTACATTGGGGGATCAAACCTAGCAGCCAAAACCTCGATTTTTCACCATTGGAGACCTGCAAGAGGCGATTTTGGAGCTAGAAACCCATTTCCTTTCATATTTCCAAGTCTTAGGTAGTTTCTTTATGCAATTAGACTTTTGTTATTGTTATTTTGTCGCCATGAGTGGCTAATTTCCCTATTTTGGTAGACATTGGCTAAAACCTCTGAATGTTTGTGGGTTTTTGAAGGATTTATTCTTATTTATCATTTATCTTATGTTTATGATTCTAGTTCATATTTCCTATGCTTGTTTAGTGCTTTGATCATGAGCTTGGTACTTTAATAAGCAATTGTTGGTTTATTTATTTGGTTTAACATTGAATCATTGAATTTACTTAGAACAAATGCTTTATGATGGTAGAAATCATCTCTAGCTTATGAATCATAACTCCTTTATGGATGTGTAAGCATTGACATCCTCTAGGAATTGGGGATTTCTTTATTCTTAAGGCTAATCAACTTCTTGGGTTTAATTGCTTCAATTGACCCTTGATCTTGATTAAGAAGGTGTGTTGTGGGCTTCCCCAACCTCCATACTACCTTTGAGAAATCTTGGCATATCATGCTTCATGATTGCTATAACCAATTTGGGATGAATGATAAGCTTCATGTTAAATCCTAATGATAAACACACAAATGTTCATTGTGTTGAATTGCCTTGGTTTACCAATTCTCTCTAACATTTGAGCATCTCACTATCTTGCTTAATTGCAAGTTTTTAGTTATTTAAGTCTTTTAGTTTTCAAGCAATCATAACACCCCCCCCCCTTTTTTGTTTAATTGTAGTTAGTTAGTTTATTTACAATAGTTCTTTTAGATTGCATTGGTGGACTTGACATCCCATCACATCGTAAAAATACAACTTTAAGTACCGAGGTTTTCCATCCATTGGGACTAACTGACCGATTCTATGATATATTCCTCCGTTCACACAAAAAGTGTATACTCCAGATGTCATATTTGTCATTGTTTTATCCACATCCACGCCTATTGATGCGAATGAAAAGTAAATGTGGCTTTTGGCAGAATACATATATATATATATATATATATATATATATATATATATATATATATATATATATATATATATATTGAATTCAAGTTGGTTTTGGAGGGATAAGATAAAAATAATTTTATTCATTTGTTAAATTTTGAATTTAAAAATGTAGTTAGAATTGATAATGTAGAAAGTTTTAGGATTATGATTTAAAATTTAAAATTATGATAATGTTGACGGTTCGTTTGGAAAAAGGATAATTTTTATATCAGCCCATGAATATATTATTTACCAAAACAGTCCCCGAGTTTAAAGTTAATACCAAACAGCCCCTAATACATATTGTTTCTTTTGTAAGCATTTTACTTTGAAAAGTCTTCAAATTATGACATTGTATTTTCATTTTCTTATTAAAAACACATTTCATTTGGAAAAAACCATGTACTTTATTCAATTATTTGTTTGTCATTGCAGGTATGCTTTATCCAGGAGACTGATGAGATTTTGCATAAAGATGAATAGGTAAGTATTAATAGTATCTACCATTATATTGTTTTTGTTTCTCAAATTGCATTTCATAGTTTCATTTCTTTGTATTACGACATTATACTTTCACTATTTTTTCTCAATAAGGCATTGTACTCTTAAAAATATACAATGTTGTAATAAGAAATGAAAGTAAGATGCTATAAAAAACCATAATAGCCCATGACTTTAACAATAATTCCAAGGGCCAATAAATATGTAGTTATTTACCAAAACAGCCCCTGAGGTTTTTAAAATGGATTTTCAATTAACTTTTCAAAATAAATGCATGATAATAAAGAAAAAACGATATATTATCATGAATGATTATGAAATTATTTATTAGGTTGAAATATTGAGTTTAAAATTAGTTTTAAACAACCCCTTAGTACATGTTGTTTAATATGTAAGATGTTTACTTTGAAAAGCCTAAATAATAACTTTGTACTTCCGTTTCCTTATTAAAAACATATTTCATTTGGAAATGTCATGTTATCGAACTGAATTTTCTGTTTAAACACATTTGACTCGAGTTTATTTTACTTTTTCTTTTATAATTTTAAAAAGTGGATCTCTTATGGGTTCCTGAAAATCACAACATCTTAATAAGGCATTGTATTTATTTAAAGAAATTTTAGAATGTTGTAATAAGAAATGAAAGTAGGATGCCATGATAAACAATAACGAATAAGCAAATAGAGTATGAAAAGTATGATTAAAAACTATAAAATTCAATAATAATCATAAAAAACATAAAATCCCAATATCAAAGCATCTAAAACCATAGAGTCATAAAGATAAAATACCTACCATTCAACTTGCTATAAGCAAAAGTCATTCAAATTATTAAAAAAATAAATTAACGATTATTCTTGCTAAGATCAGTCTTCACCCGACTCTGATTCATCATTATCAGCCGGATTTGGCTGGATCACACCTACATCATCTTTAGTGGGATGTGGTGCATCATCTTCACCATGTATTGGATGGTTCACATCTACAGGTAACTCCAACCCATATCTGCAAAAAGTTATTTGAAAATAATAATAATAGACATAAAATTTGAACATATTTAGAAATAATCAATTTAGCAATGAAGTGATTACAATTAAAAAAATAATAATATATAAACTAAGTTAGTTTTAGTCAATTATGAAATAAATATGTAAAACAACTGAAATGATCATGACATACCGATAATCTTTGTCATCCGGTAGATGACTAAGCTTAGAGAACCTGTTTTGTCTCTGAATTGTGACTCGGGGCGTTTTCAATGGTTTTACCGAGTCAACTGTATCTTTTGTATCCACGTCTTCATCAGTCAACTGTTGTTGATTATCAGAACTTACAAGATCCACCACTTCATTCCATTTCCAAGATTGAAGTGCCAAATCACATTTTTTTTGGAGGAGAGAAAGTTGCTTTCACAAGTTTCATGTTCTGTTGTCTCTACATCCATGTTAAAGGCCTGTATGATGGCTGCCAAGGAGGAAAAGATTAGGAGTTAATATAACTCAACCATGTTAAAGGCCTGTACAATAACAAATAGTTTAACATACTTTTTGATAGTTGGGCTATTGAATTTGACTGATATATAGGTTGGAATATGGCGGCAGTACTTAGGTATATATAATGATTTTCTGATAAAGTTTGTTTGTTATTAAGGGATAAAATAAGTATTATTTAAATTTTGAATTTTAAATATTATAATTAGTTTGGATAAATAAATATGATAAGATTAATATTCAAATATATAAGTTTTATATTTGAATTTTACAACTTGTTTGGATAGATAAGTAGGATAATGATTTATAAATTTAAAAGTAAGATAATATCAATGTAACAACCAACATTTATGTAGTTAGGATAGGTTCGATATTGTTGAAAGTTTTAGGATATGTTTTTCCAAATTAAACTTAGGATAATGTGAAATATACTAATTTTGTTTCTTGTTTATGTAATATCCATTTTTAAATATCTGAATTTCAAATTTTATAAAATTAAAAGATGGATATTTTAAATCTAAAATATATAATTTTAAATTATAGCATTATAATTTCATTTTCCTTGTAATCACATTGTACATTGAAAAAGTTTAAAGTACAATCTTATAATGAAAGTATTTATATAACATGTGCTGTCCAGAAAACCAAATTAAAAATATATGAATTATCCCAAGAAATAACAACCTACTTTAATTTACCCATAACAAATAGAAACTTAATTAAATTTATGATATTAGGATGTTATTTGATGCATTAGCCAAATGTTTAAAAATAATAAAGTTTGTAATGATGAAAAAAATCTGAAAATTTAAAATGTTTTGGTTATAGTAATATTTTAGTAAATAAAAGATAAATAGTATAAGTTCGGGATAAATGAAAGGATAAGATTAATTAATATTTGTATATATGTTGTTTTTTAGGGTAAAATATATTATCAAATAGCCAATGAATATATAATTATTTACCAAAACAACCCATGAGTTTACTATTAATACCAAACAGCCCTCTAATACAATTTTTTGTTATGTAAGTATATTACTTTGAAAAGTATTCAATTTATAACATTGTACTTTCATTTTCTTATAAAACACATGTTGCCTTGTGAAAAGCCGTTTTATAGTAATGTACTTTCAATAATATGCTTTATTACCATAAAAACCAATGAATATAAATATAATACCAAACAGCCCCGTAAATAAAATGGAAATACTTTGATAAAAAAAAGGGTGCTATAATAATCAACCAATACAAAGTACATTACTATTATTTGAATTTAAACCTTCATAAAGTAGCACGTCACAATAATTAACCTAATCTATATTTGTAATTTATATTAGATTATACTGATGTAAAGGTCTTCATCTATTTTTTTGTATTCACTCAAGAGAGAGCCATTGGTGTCGACGATCATCCGTTGACCATAGTTCATCCACCAATTCATTTGTGCATTCTCATTTCCATAGATAATGCATTCTTGTTCCAAGGGTAGTTGTGGAATTTTGTTTTGCATGCAATCTTCTTCATTCATAGCTTTCTAATTTGAAAGTATAATGACTTCATCTTGTAGGGGTAATTTTGGAATTTTTATTTGCTTGTCATCTTCTGTTTGTGTATTCAAAAACTTATTTTCATTTTTATATTTGGTGGTTTGATTGTTGCATGGTTCCACTTGAACCCCTGTAATATCGTAAACATCACCAAATTTGCAATCTTCATATAACCAATCATTTTTAGGTACTTCATCTTTAATGCTCTGCATACAATATGTGTGTTCGGCGCCATCCATACATCTACTACATATAGCAAGTAAGTGCTCATAGCCTACATCTCCACATATATCACACACAATGATATCACATAACTGGTCATCAACAACCTCAACATCCATTACCCTGAACATATAAATTGCAAGAAACCATAAACTTAGGAAAAAAGCCAGTGTTTCACCTAACACCCTATTTTTAGAAAGAAAATTATGAATATTGAAAAAATTGTAAATAAAATTACCCAATATATTTGTTATGCATGAACCGAGAAAGAGAGGCAATATGTCTGCTACCTGTTTATGTATATGTTTCTAGACATGTAAACAAAAAACACAATCATTCAATTAAAGAGAGTTAGAATGTATATTAATTACATTTCACAAAGAAATTACCTAATAAGATTTATGTTTTATGCAGGAACCGAGAAAGAGAGAGTGCATGGAAAAAAAGAAGGCTAAAATGTTGAGTATTTCGGTCCTGTTAACACAAAAAACATACAGAGACACCATTAAAGATAAGAGAGAGAGGGAGTTTGTATATATATGTATTTGTTTTTTATTTTATTAGAGAGAGAGAGAGTGAATGAATTATATTGTGTTAGTATGTAAACACAGGCACACACAGTCACGAACACTATTTAACATACGTGTTATGTTTGTTTTTTCTGCAGGAACCGAGATCAGATCCTGTTAACACAAAAAACACATAGACAACATTAAATAAAAGAGAGAAATAAAGAGAAAGAGGGGGAGTTTGTATATTTATGTATTTGTATTTTGTTGTATTATAGAGAGAGAGAGAGAGAGAGAGAGAGAGAGATAGAGAGAGAGAGTTATATTATATATGTAAACACAGGTACACACAGTCACACACAGTCACAAACACCATTGAACATACCTGTTATGTTTTTTTTTTCTGCAGGATCCGAGAGAGATTTAGAGTGAGTTTATGTATTGGCCAAAAAAGCACAAACACGCATACAAATTATGTGAATTCACAAATAACACATACTTGTTGCGGCTTATGTATGCAAAAGACACACACACACATACAACCAATTAAATTTCACAAAGAACAATGATTATTTTTCTTCTGTAGTAATCGAGCAAAAGAATGAATTTTAGATATTAGGGTTTTGGATGATCACAGATTTACGGTTTCAAGAAATATAGGATAGGAAGCTTTGGTAATTTATAGTGGATTAGATCACCAAAAATATAGGTAAGTATACATGGGACTTAGTCAATAAACCGTGATTATTATTTTGACTTTTCCTAATATTGACCAAACGAATATCCAAGATTACTCAATGCTTAAAATGATTGTAAATAGTGCCTAAGGGCTTGTACGACTTAAAACTTAGCATTTGACTAAAAAGTCAAAGATCAGATTTTGAAATTTGAAATTTAAGATAAGATTGATAATGTGTATTCATTTCGAACTTCAAGTTTGTTTATTCTTATCCCTTAAATATAGATTGTGATTCTTATCCCTTAAATATCGGATGTGAAGCTAACGAAACTCATCTCAAACTTGAATTGGTCAAAAATTGAAACCATATTCTCTCTTATCACGCCTAATGAACCAGTCACAATGTCTTCGATGCTTCTTCACGCTCTCCATCTCTTTGGACCCATTCGACCCTCGCTGATGCCCAACCCCATCGTGTTCTTCCCTTCAAACCATCGAACCCAGGAGACCACATCGGTTTGTGAAGCCGACAGACAAACAATCGCTGCTTCTCCCTCCCATTTGTTCGGCCTCGTCAATCACCGACGATGCTACCTCTGACGAAATTGCCACCACCGGACCAAGAACCACCACCATCACTTTCTTATTTCCTCAAATCAGATGAAAACCGGATTAGCATCTTTGATTTACCCATAATTGATGCCCATTGGGGCTGCTATATTGCTATTTAATGTAACCTAATAAATTGAACGGAAACAATGAAATAATCCAAGGTTAGTAACATAGGTGAATCAAGAAAACTTGTCGACCTAAAAGTTTATACATACTAAATTACAAAATCGAAGCGACTGTTCGAACCCAAATGACATCTAAAGTGGAAACCCTTTCCCCCAAACACAAAACCCTTTTTGTGTCTTCTGATTGGGTCCTCAAGAAGAAGATATAATAAATATGTCCGTCTGAATGGCTCATGAAGAAGAAGATTGAATAAAGGTGAAGGTGAGGGAAGATGGTGGTAACAAATTGCTACCAAAGTAGGAGGAGACTAATACGCAGGGGTTTGACGAAGGTTGATATAAGGCGTTACAAAATGGCATAGGCGTGTTATTTTTTTTTTGTGTGAGGATGAGATGACATCATCAAAATGATCCTAGGGTTGAGATGAATGAATGAAACCCAATAAATGACCCTGATTTTTGCAAGTGATGTCATTAGGTTTCTGGTTTAATATATATAAAGATATAAATATACATACAAATGTATAAATTTCCGAAATAATCTTAACAGATATATAGAGATTTTATATATAGAACTTAGAATTTGATTTAGGCCATAAAACTATTAGGTATTCGATTTCTAATATAATCTTATAGTGTATCCAATTAAAAACTTTATTGTTTTTTATAGTTTTTGAGAATATATGATGAGATTCTTTCATATCAAGTCTGACTAATTAAGAGGAAAAATAAAGACCATCTAATCGATTAAGATGACAAAATAAAATGAATCAAACACTTTGAATCAGACCAATTTAGATGTTGCCACTTAATAAAACCATTAAGATGTAAACAATCAACCCATTACACGTTAATATGTTATCGTATGATATTAGATAAATTTTTTTCGAATAGTTGAATATCATTATAAAGTTAGCGAACCGCTAACAAAACATTATATCAGAATAGACAAAATAGGATTTAACATCCAAGAAACACGGATGATACTAATTTTCTTATTATGAAAAACAAATCAATTGTAGGAATAATCAACCAAACTATCGATTAACAAATTCCTGTCCGCTTCTCTTGATCAAAGAAAGGTTAAGAGAATCAATCCAAGTGACAATGTCTTCAATCTCCATAAATGACGGGCAAGAAATGTCGCACCATTTATCAAGAAACTTCCAAAGATCGACTGCCACGTTACAGTGTATAAACAAGTGGTTGTTGTCTTCCATATCAGCATTGCATATGTAACAAATCATCGAGGGGACATCCAACCCTTTGGCGACCAAATTTACACTAGTTGGAAGGTTATTTAACCGACATCACCAATAGAATATGTTAACTTTATGAGGGATATACTTATTCCATCTTGTACTACATACTCCATTAGGGAGAGTAGTATCATCAATAGCTCTACGCGCTTTGACAACTGTGAAAACATCAATGCCGCCCGAGTCCCAAATCCACATATCGCTTAAACCCGAGAAAGAGTACTCAAGAATAGTACACTCTAATTGTTGCAAGTGAGTGAAACTCGTACCCCCTTCAATAGGCCTGATCCAATTCCAAATCTAATTTTGCCCATTCCACCTCTCCGAAATGTTGCAATCTTTATTCGACTCCAACAAAAATAGTCTAGGAAACCAGATCATCAACGGACATTGGCCAATCCAATGATCCTTCCAAAACAAATTAAAAGCGTCATCCCCAACTCTCCTTTTAAAAGAATTCCTTTGAATTACTCCCAAGTCATGCAACCGATTTATAGTACCAATTATTTTAAGCTAAACCCCTCTTTGTAAACCCGAGCCATTACTCCAACCAAGACCACCATCTCTACCATGAATCGATTTCAACACATTAACCCATAAAGCTCCATTATCAGTCAAGAACCTCCACTTCCACTTAAGAATCAAAGTTTTGTTAAATGCATCCAAAGAACTAATATCTAAACCTCTTTTTTGTTTACTAGCCAAGATCATGTCCCACTTTACCCAATGTAACTTTTGGTCTCCTTTTTCAACACCCCAAAAAAAAACCTCGCTCTAACATTCTCCATAAAACTATTCACGAATCTAGGCAATCAAAACAAGGACATATAAAAAAATACCCAAGGATCCTAAAACTGACTTCAAAAGCATAGAACGACCACGAATAGAAAGTAAACGAATTTTCCATGAAGCAAGTTTCTTTTTGAACTTGCCAATTATAACCTTCCAACTCGAAAATCTAGACATAATGTCACCAACCAGAAGTCCTAGATAAGTAAAGGGAAACTTCGCATTCTTACATCCCGTAATCGCAGAAAATTGATCGACCTCAAAATGAGAAACACAAACTCCAAACAAGTTTGATTTATGGATATTACTTTGAATCATAGAAACCATATAAAAGCAATGAAGGATAGCCACCAAATTAATAATATTATCTCTATACCACTCTCAAAAGAAAATCACATCATCAACATAGAATAAATGTGACATAAGAATACTCGCTTCACCAACTTGAATACGTTGAAAGAAACATGCATCAACCGCGTCTTCAATGGCAACATGTAAACCTTCCATAACTAAAATGAAAATAAAAGGAGAAATAGGGTCTCCTTGTTTCAAAACCACTTTTTAAGTTAAATTCTTCTGTCAGACTTCCCTTAATTAGAACCGAGGATCGACTATTACCCAAACACGCACGAATCAAACCAATCCAAAAATCAGAAAAACCCATAAACTCCATAATCTTAAAAAGGAAATTCCAACAAAGCAAATCATAAGCTTTCTAGAAATCAACTTTAAAAATAATGAGTTTCTTTTTCTCTGTCTTATACCAATCTACCACTTCATTCACTATAAGGAGACCATCCAAAATTTGTCTACCTTTGACAAAAGCGAACTGAACCGAGTTAACCACAGAGTCAACCACTTTCGCCAAACGAAGACCCAAAAGCTTTGCAATCACCTTATATTGAAGACCAATTAACGTAATGGGTCTGTAATCTTTCATATACAATAGGTTAACAATCTTTGGGATGAAAGTAATAAAAGACGAATTGCATCCAAAAGGGATGTAATTTGACCGGAAAACTGATGGATAAACTCGTGTATATCATCTTGCAAGATGTCCCATATCTCTTCACAAAAGAAAATGTGTAGCCATCCGAACAGGGGGACTTATCACTCCCGCAAGCCCCAACCTCCTGACGCACCTCGCCAATAAACGAAATTGAATCATTAAAAGTGACCTGATCGGAATTCAAATTATGATACCGTAAACTACGATTTGAAATATCAATACCCTGAAAATGTGCAAATTTGTCTTTATAAAATTGAAAAAATTCAGCCTTGACCCTTACAGGATTCATGACCCAATCATCCTCTACCCTAATACCTTTTATGTTTTTTTGGTGAGGTTTCTTTCTTAAAATGTTATGGTAAAATTTAGAGATTTCGTCCCCCTCCATGGACCATTTAACTTTAGCCTTCTGAACTAACTCACTAACCTCCGCTTTCTCCATGTCATAAATTCGAGACATGAGATTTTTCCTCTCAATCACTAGATGGTTATCACCGAAACATTGATCCATTAGTTTATCAATTTCACCCAACCTAGAATAATTGATTTTTTTTTTGTTCGGATTTAACAACCATGTTGTATATTAGATAATTAGATATGATATTTGTAGTATTAAAACATATCACACGAATTAGTGTCTTAATAAGATATTTACTTATGAACATATATATATATATATATATATATATATATATATATATATATATATATATATATATATATATATATATATATTGATGATATTAGGTCCATTAGCATGGCAGAGACAGCTCTCCGGCCAGCCCTGCCTGAAGCTCCCTTGCCATCCTTGCTTGACACTCTCCTTTTGACCCTGCCTGACACTCCCTTTCCAGCCTTGTTTAACACTCTACTGCCATCCCTGTTTGGTGCTCCCTAGCCAGCGTTGTCGGGTGCGTGCCCGGCAGCCTCGCTTGACGCCTCTGGGCGACCTTGCCCAACTCTTTTCTAATTGGGCCTAAGTTGGGTTGGCCCAAGTCTTGACCTAATTCCCTTGGACCTAATTTTCCCCTATAAAGCGAACAATACCTCCTCCATGGACAGGGACTTCCCTGGTGGCCTAGCCACCACCCGAGACTTTTTCCCCAATGGCTCAACCGCCATTCTATACCTTCTCCGGTGGCTCGACCGCCACTCAGGAGCTTCCCCTTGGCTCAGCCACCACTCTCCTCCTACACCTGCCATGCCCATACACTATCGCCAACACCAAGATGGTTTTTTACAACTAAGAGGAACCATCTCATATCTACCAACCGATCTAACTTAATCGTTGGAGATTTCTCCTGGGGTACAGTCCCTGGGTGGTTCTAACGACTTTGATCTATGATGTTTAGATCTCCGCCATAGTAGTTGTCCAGAAGACGTCTCGGAGATCTATGTCGCATCATTTGGCGCCATCCGTGGGACTCGAACCCTGTTTGAGGACATTTCTTAATTCAGGATTTGGGGACCATAATGCGACCATGTAAAGGCCTTGAGCTTCAATGAAATAGAGTTTAGACTCTATTGGAGGTGTATGATGTTGGATAAGTGACTTAAACCTTGGATTGTTCGATGTTGTTAGTTAAAAGTATCAAAGATATAATTGTGGAGCTCTGCGATACCTTTACATGGATATAAAGATCATTGGAAACGGAGTTGAAACGAAGAAGTTGTGGTTGTTTGAAATTAAGCTGGAAAGGGAGTTTGGCAGTACGTTGGGCGTACAATAGGTAGTACATTGGGCGTACTGGCTAAAGGTAGACGCGTTTCAGGGGGTTACGCTAGGCATAACCTATGGTAGGCTGGGCATACCGCCGCAGTGTTAAAACCCCAATTTCGTGT